CCTCCTCCTCCTCCTCCTCCTCCTCTATCGGGACCTCTGCCTCCTTCTCCTCCATCTGGACCTCCTCCTCCTCTATCGAGACCTCCTCCTCCTCCTCTATCGGAACCTCCGCCTCCTTCTCCTCCATCGGGACCTCCTCCTCCTCTATCGGGACCTCCGCCTCCTCCTCCTCTACCGGGACCTCCTCCTCCTCTATCAGGACCTCCTCCTCCTACTCTATCGGGACCTCCGCCTCCTCCTCCTCTACCGTGACCTCCTCCTCCTCCACCTCCTCCTCCACCACCACCTCCTCCTCCTCCTCCTCCTCCTCCTAGCGGGACCTCCACCTCCTCCTCTTCCTCCTTCCTCTCCATCTTGTTCTTCTTCGTCTTGCCCTCCATCTCTTCTCCCTTCTCCTCCCTTCTTCTTCTCCCTTCTTCTCCCTTCTCCCTTCTTCTTCTCCCCCTCCTCCTCTTCTTCTCCCTTCTCCCTCCTCCTCCTCCTCCTCCTCCTCCTCCTCCTCCTTCTCCTTCTCCTCCTCCGCCTCCTCCTTATTCTTCCTCCTCTTCTTCCTCTTCCTCTTCTTCTTCGTCGTCTCCTCCTCCTCCTCCTCCTCGTCCTCCTCCTCCTCCTCATCCTTGAGCGCGTCGACAAAGAAGAAGAAGAAAGAGGGACAACGAAGACGACGACGATGAATTCTCAAAAGGCTCTGTTGTCTTAGGTGGAAGGCTTAGAAGGTCTTTTTCCGGAAAGACTGGAGCCATCAGTGAGATACCACTCTTGAGAAGCTAGAATTCTAACCTTATGTCGTTTCCGGCTAAGGAAAAGTCTCAGGTAGACAGTTTCTATGGGGTGTAGGCCTCCCAAAGGATAGCGGAGGCATGCGAAGGTTCCCTCGGGCTGGACAGAAATCAGCCATTGAGTGTAAAGGCAAAAGGGAACTTAACAAGAATGACTCGTCGAGCAGGGATGAAAGTTGGCCAGATATTGTATACAAATAACATGAATTAAATATATAATTATAAACAATATGTATATAAATCTGATATGTCTATAATAGGAATTTAAGTGATATAATAATTTCATATGTTTTACTAACTTTTTAGTTGTATGTATTATTAATGGCGTATAACCATATACAGGCAACCAAAGATTTGCACCTGCATTTAAAGCAGGGCTTTGATTAGAGGAAAGTAGAACATCAAATCCATAAAGCGTTTTTCCATGTGTAGCCTGTATCCATTGTGCAAAGATAGGTTCAAGCAAGATTTGTTTTTCTGGAGTACCAAAAGCTTGCATTACATCACTTCTTCTTCTTGAGCGTGTGGACAACGAAGAAGAAGAGCAGAGGGATGACGAAGACGACGGAGAAGAAGAGGAGGAGGAGAAGGAGGAGGAGGAGGAGGAGGAGGAGGAGGTCTTACCCATCGAAATTGACTTCGACCAAGGAGAAAGTGTCGCCACCGCTTTAGCGCGTGGACGAAGGCTAATGCCTCCTTTCGTGCATCGTCGATGAGTGCACAACGGGCACTTTCTTGCTGAAATACTCGACCGGGTGCCAGTCCATGCCATCGTGTTGCTCAATGACAGTACCAATGCCATAGCTGGATGCATCGGTAGTGTCGCGCGTCGACAATAACGGGTCATAGATGTGCAAGACGTCCACGGATTGAGGGCCAAAAATGAACCCCGTGTATCCTTACCGAAGTCGAAGGGCCGATTCTCGCCTTTGATAAAATGTAGGTAGTAGACAGCAAGGCAAAGAAACAAACGAACATCCGTAACGTTCTGCGGCTCGGACCACTCTTGGACGGCTTGAATCTTGTCGAATAACGGACTGACGCCCTCTGGTGTGACAAAATGGTCCGAGTATTCCAGCTCTTGCCAGACAAATTTGCACTTGGTGCAGTCGACTTAGGCCTACAGCCTCATGCCCAGCCCACCCACTTCGGCCCAATCGGCCAGGATGATTTTTTCTGAATCAAGAAGCAATTATGAGCCAGATTCAAAAACAGAGATGTTCTCTCTCTCTCTCTCTCTCTCTCTCTCTCTCTCTCTCTCTCTCTCTCTCTCTCTCTCTCTCTCTCTCTCT